TTAAGATACGAGCTGCGGAATTATCAACCTGATTCCGGTAAAACAGTTGCTAGAGACCTAATCAAAACCTTGAGCCCCAAATCTGAGGAAAAAGCCAAGCAGCTCATTCTTGAATACGCACAAACAGAAGGGCTTGATGAAAAGGGACTTAACCTTATGAATTTTGATTCTGACCAATGGTCATCCTCTCAAACTTCCTTTACAGACTCGGGTGACTTATACGAGTCTTCTGTTGATAATTCATCTGCTACCAAAACCAACACCACTAACACCACCAACACCTCCAGCAGAAAGAAGTTTCTATACAAGCTTAGGAGACTAATACAGGGAAAGCATAAACACCAGCATAACCAAAATTCACCTGCTCAAAAATCAGGATCTTCGGAAGATTGGGATTCTCCTGGATGCAGTTTGAGCACGGGGGTTGAAGCCATCACCGAGTTGCAAACCGACACAGCTGCGCATCAACGTCAGCTTACATCCAGACATTCTTTGGACATCCAACAGTTGAGGAGCCTCAAGTTTGTTGATGTTGGGGATGTTGAACCTGTTAGAAGAAATAGTGATGTTGGTAGAGAAGGCTCCAACGATTTGTCAGCAGAAAATCAACTTGAACCGGATACCGATTCCGCTGGAAAATCTGACTTGATCAAATTTGCTGAAGCTTTGAAGGGCTCCCGTCGTAGCAAAATGTGGTTTAGAAAGTCAGCATCCTGCAATTTTGATTAACATTTTTCTTTTGTGGCTCCTGCTTGTACATACATACACGGATCTACTAGTCATCAGTTAGTGCAATGTAAAGTATTGATTAGAAGCAAGATTGCAAAAGCAATTTTATATACACTCAGCTTGATTTTAGTTCGAATTATTAGTGCTTGATTTTAGTTCAGACTACTAGTGCTTAAACAGGTAATTAAGTTCTCAATTAACCAATTTAACTTCTACTCATTACTTTGAACTCATTATTATGACTGATTACAAAACTCTGTTTCCTTCAACAGTTAGGAATGACTCGTTATAATCTTATTGTTTATGTTTGGTTCAGTGGCAAATAAGATTGTAATAGATTTTATAATTATTTAATATAATTAAATTAAATTAATTAATAATAGTAATTAACAATTAGAAGAACATAAGTGTGATAAATAATAATTAGATTCTTAATAATTCGGTATTAGTAACTCAATGAAGTAAAAGTTGTAATGGTGGTGTTTAATGTAGTAGTCATAAACCTATTCCTAATAAGTCTTTTAGCTAACCAAAATAAGTAGTTAATGTAGTTTAAAACACGAAATAAAAGTTTTATTAGAAGACGGTGAAAATTGATCCTTGTAAAAATGTAAGTGAAAAGTTTTAAAATATCAGTTTTTATAAATTTAGATGAAATTTTTTGTCATTTTATAGTTAAATTAATAGAGGTGCAAGAATCGTCAGGTTGGATCAATTAATCAGTTTGTTTAGTTAAGAAACTTAATTACAGGGTTGGTTCCTGGTTAAAGTTCAACATTCGAAATGATTGAATAATATAATTGATTTTTGTTTTATATATTTTATATTATATATATAACGAATAAAAAAAAAAAAAAAAAAAAGGAACTCTCAAGTTAAGCCCCCACATCTCTCTTTTCTCTTCGCCACTCACTAAACCCTAATCACGGGCCCAGAGCCTCCAGGCCATGCAGAAAAAAGATAATGAGAAAGAAAGAAAAGAAATTGGAGCCCAATTAATTTAAACCCAAAATCCAAAGCTCTGTTTTACCAAAACACCAAAATTTCCTAAACAAGGAGAAGAGAAGGCCGTTAGAGCGGCCAAAAACACAAAAGGGCGCTTTCTTCTGCAGGCGGCGGCTAGTCTTCTTCTTCTCCTTCAACGGCAACCATATTCAGTTCTCTCTCTCTCTCTCTCTCTCTATATTCCTCAAGGCGAACACAAGAAACTACAAACTCTCTGTCCCTCCGAACGCTATCTTCTTCTTCTGCATTATTTATCTCTGCTCCTCAATCAGCAAGGCAGAAGCAGAGCCGTCTCTCAAGCAACACAAGTTTGTCTCTCGGCGAAGCAAGTTTGTCTCTTTCTCACAGCCAGTCGCCATCTGTCAGTCGCTCATCACTGACAGTAAGCAGAACTAGCTCTTTTACTGTGTAGAAAAAGACCAAAGTAGAGAGGCAGATACGGGAGCGTTGTGAGCAGAACCAGTGATCAAGGAGAGAATTAGAGAAGTAGAAAGGAGAAACTCAAATTTTTGAGGAGACAGAGGAGGGAACAGGATCCGTTGACATTAAATGGGTATACTAATGCTCTTCCTTTGGTACTTTTTTTTTTAAAAAAGAGAGACTAGCGCTTTTCCTTCTGTTGAGTTGATTTAATATATGAAAAACACTGGTTGTACTGTCGAATTTTAACTAAGAAATATAGCTATGAAGATGGACCTTGAGAATAATTTTATGTCTGTTGGATTGCTTGTTCTTTTCCATGTACGATTGCTTAATAGATAGGTGACATGAAGGTTAGATTAGCGAAGTTCACTGCACTAAAGGCTAACATGTTTTCCACAGCCAATGACTTTCTATCCTTCTGCCTCCAAATTTAAGTGCTTGCTATGTTAACAAAATTTATGTTGTTCTCCTTCATAATTTTCTCCAAACAGTGCACCTATAGGATTTATGATGTTTATTTAAAATGGGCTGAAAATAGGACTATACGAGTAGTGCGAGAAGGGAAGTTAGATGAACTGCATAAAATGTGTTCAAATATGGATAGATTTTTGTTTTTTTTTTTTTTCGTTTTTTGTTTTTCGTTTTCCCATTGCTGAATAACAATAAAATTGGTAATGGCATGTGGTTAATTATCTTGCGGTGGTAATTTTGGGAACAAATTCATGAAATCTAAGATACATGAAGAAGGGAAATATGAAAAATTTAGGTTTAATCAATTGAACTGCCTTTGACCTCTTGCATAAGATTTTTGTCTT